AGTTAAGGACAGTTTGTAGCCACCATGTGGGTGCTGGGACTTGAACCCAGGTCCTCTGCAAGAGCAGTGAGTGCTCTTAACCGCTGAGCCATCTCTCCAGCCCCAGTGAATTTTTTTTTAAATTAAAAAACATTTATGTGTATGAATGTTATGCCTGCATGTATATAAGTGCACCCATGTCATGCAGGGCCCGTGAAGGTCAGATGAGAGTGTTGGATCCCCTGGAACTGGAATAACAGACAATTGTTAGCTGCCATGTTGATGCTGGGATTTGGACCTGGGTCTTCTGCAAGAACAACCAGTGTTTTTAACCACTGAGCCATCTCTCCAGTCCCATGAATTTTTTTTTTAATTAAAAAAATTTATGAAGCCAGGCGTGGTGGCGCACACCGTTAATCCCAGCACTTGGGAGGCAGAGGCAGGCGGATCTCTGTGAGTTCAAGGCCAGCCTGGTCTACATAGTGAGTTCCAGGACAGCTGGGGCTACAGGGAGACCCTGTCTCAAAAAGACCAAAAGAAAAAAAAATTATGTGTATGAATGTTATGCCTGCATGTATGTAAGGGCATCCATGTCATGCAGTGTCTGTGGAGGTCAGAAGAGAGTGTCAGATCCCCTGGAACTGGAGCTATGGACAGTTGTTAACTACCATGTGGGTGCTGGGATTCGAATCCTGGTCTTCTGCAGGAGCAGCCAGTGCTCTTAACTGCTGAGTCATCTCTCCAGCCCCCTTATTATTTGTTTCTATTTTATGTGTATGGGTGTTTTGCCTGCATGTTTGTAAGTGGATCCATGCATGCAATGCCTACAGAAGCCAGAAGAGGTTGTCAGATCACCTGGAACTAGAGTTACAGATTCATTAGCCACCATGCGTGAACCCAGGTCTTTTGCAAGAGCAGCCAGTGCTCTTAACCGCTGAGCCATCTCTCCAGCTCCTACCTTTTAATAATGGCTGTTGATGTTAAAGTGCCCTATAAAATAAAAGTCATGTAGCAGATATTAGAAGACAAGCTATGTTCTATAAACAGTTGAAGAAACCAGTGAAGTTTGGCCTGAAAATGATAAGTGGGTCATCTGCCATCAGTCATTTGATATTAAAGGAGGCAGGAGAATAGAAGACAGTAGGAGTTTGCAGAAAAACGTTTCTTGTTTCACTGTGACAAGCTTGGAACAAGTAAACGGTTCACCAGTTAGGCAGACTGCGTCTCCAAGCAGTGAGCCCAGTTAGACGTGCTCAGCACAGGCTGTTCAAGGTGCTCCCGGAGGACAGGGACAGAATTCATCCATCTGAAACCACTAGGAATTCTTTTGGGAGGAGCTTGACTCAGCAACTGTTTGTCCCTGTTGGGATGAGTGCTGTTCTGTGTTTAGCAGGTGGTACTTGATGTTCTCTGAGGCGACTGTCTCCAGTCTCACATCTGGTAAAACACAAGACCAGAAGTTTGCCAGTGCCACGCATTTTTATTTGGCTTAATTGATGCCGATGGCGAAATTACCCGCTGTCTCTTTTCCCTCTTTTTCCTTCCAGTACATGGAAAAGAGAACCAGGAGCAGGGAGCATGGTGACGCAATGCGAAAGAGGCTTTTCAGTCTTCCAGAAGAACCTAAAAATTAGGTTGTTGCTTCACCGAGAGAACCTCTTCAGGACTTTTGGTTGATAGCTCCACGATTCCTTTCTGTTGGTCTCCAGGATCCTTTTGGTGAAAACTGATCCATGGAGAACTGAACAGTGGGGCGATGTGGTAACCTGGATTCTCAATACTTCCTGAGCAAAGCCTCGAGTCCACCCAGCAACCTGACCTCTGTGCTGCCTCCCTGTGTCCACATCCACTTCGTATTGGCTTACCTCCTTCAATAAAGTAATTCCCATTGTTTCCCTCCCCCAGATTTGGTTCTCCTGGGGTTAAAGCAGAATCTGCACCAATAGGTTCCCCTTCTGACCACATGTTGATTGTGAAGATGACCTTGAGGACACAAACTAGCCATGTGAGAACTCAGGAAATTCCAGCTGTTTTGACTACTGAGATGGGTGGGTTGGCCGTGCCCTACGCCAGGTTCCACTAGAGTACTTGGGCAACACAAATTGAGCTCTGGGGGGAATAGAAAACAAAAACAGAAAGTTGAGTGGGTAGGGCAGAGGGGATGGATCTGGGAGGGGTTGGCGAGGGCGGAATAGGGTCAAAATACTTTGTATTTGAAATGTTCAAAGGATATATATGTATTTTATTTTATTTTTTTGGTCTTTTTGAGAGAGGGTCTCCCGGTAGTCTCAGCTATCCTGGAACTCACTATGTAGACCAGGCTGGCCTTGAACTCACAGAGATCCGTCTGCCTCTGCCTCCCGAGTGCTGGGATTAAAGGCGTGCACCACCATGCCCAGCTTCAAAGGATATTTTTTAGAAACACAAAGTTGGGAGTGTAGGGCAGTAGGGGAGGAGTTGGGAGTAGTGTGATCAATATGTGTTGTGTGAAACTTGAAGAATTAAAGATAGCTTAAAAAATAATCAGTAAAATGAAGAACAAAAACCTTCCGATTTTAAAGAGCCCTTTGTCAGATGTTTCTAGTCACCCTCAACTCGTGAATGGAAAATATTTGACAAAGAATTGCACCTGTGCTGGACGTACACAGACGTTTCCCTAGTCATCCTTTATACAGTGCAGTATATACTGGCCACTCAGCCTTTTAGATATCAAGAGCAAGTCAGAATGTGCTGTCTGCAGGGGGAAGTGTATAGGATTTATATAATACTTTGCCGTTCAGCGACTTGAGCATCTGCAGATTTGGATGTCTAAGAGGGTCCCGGAAGCAGTACTCAGACCTTATGGAGTGACAGTTAACATGGGGAAGATGTGTGTGGTTAGGTTTCAGTCAGACTTCACTTTCTTATATGGTTAACTGTTATCACTGTGGGTACTAGTTAATTCCTGGGCTTAATCTTGGAACAGCAGGGCTCTTGACATGCTTAACTCTGGTAGTTATCCATGCGTGTTCCTTCCAGTGGTTTCTGAGACCTGTGATATTTTGAAAGTCAGCAGTGTCCATCCATAGCCACAGCAAGAACCTTGGTATAGACCAAGCTGTGAATTCCTTTCATGTGTGTGGTGTCCACATGAGGCCTTTGTGTTTAATAAGTTCCCCACTTTAGGGAAAGCTGGACATTGGTTTTTGCAGGGTGGTTGTAGAGGAGGGCAGACATTTGATGAAGGGACATGGGAAAAGCCAGAATTCTCTCTGTTTTAAATATTTTATTATTTTATGTGTATGAGTGTATTGCCTGCATGTGAGTGTATCCGTGTTGTGTAGTGCCTGTGGAGGTCAGAAGAGGGTGTTGGATTCCCCTGGAACTGGAGTTAGGATGGTTGTTAGCCACCATATACATGTTGGGAATCAAATCTGGTTCTTTGCAAGAGCAGCCAGTGCTCTTAACCACTGAGGTGTCTCTCCCCAGTAAGGCTTGAATTATTAACAGCTATTTATTTTGGGCCAATTGTAGCCTTGCTTCTTAGCACCAGTCTCAGCTGCTGAAGCTTGTTTTTTTTTGGGGGGGGTAGTAGTTTATTTTGTTGTTTTTAGAAAGGGTTTTATTATTTTATTATGCAGCCCAGGCTGGCCTCAAACTCATGGCAGTCCTCCTTTGGCCTCCCAAATGCTAGAATTGAGCTCTCACGTTTTACTGAAGCTTGTGTTTTAGATCAGCCACAGTCTTGCCTCTTAGCAGTCAGGGTAGTCCTGCTAAGCCACCAGGGAACATTCTCCCCTCGGGTTTAGTTGAAAATGGTTGCAAGCTATCCAGAGTTCACAGAGGCTTGCGATAGCAAAACGTCTGGTTCAAACTTTCAAAATAGCTCTGACTACAGCTGCGCCTTCAGGAGACAGACAATCAGCTGTGATACCATTTTCTCAAAACTTCTGTGGAGGTGGATGCAGCACCAGGGTGGCCTGGCTGGCTGCTTGATTGACAGTGCTTTTGCTCAAGGCAGCCAGGGCAGCAAGAGGGAGTCCAGTTGCTGCTCACTGGGGAGCAACTTGCCCCAATCCCAGTGCCTTTGCTTATTACCTGAAAGTGAGCGTCAGAGCAGTGCTGGTAATAATCCCAGAACGTGCTGTCAGCATGAACAGTGATTTTTAACAGTGCTGATCACCTGCCCAGAGTCCCAGGGAGAGCTGTGTCTGTCTCAGCCTAAAAGGCTCCTTGGGCGACATCATTTTATTGAAGATAATGAATTTGCCAGGTGGACTGAAGAAACCAATGACACCTGTCTGGGTTTGTGGCCCAGGAGCAGAGTTCAGGGGTTCGGCGACCTCTAGCCTCAGCGCCGGCTTCATGATCACGCTAGCCTGGCAGCCATTTCTAGGTCTGATTGATCTTTACCTATAGCCATGGGCTATCTCTAAGCTCACTAGCTGTGTGACTTTAGCCTCTGGTTCAACTCAATTTTTGGGGAGTGTGGTGTGCATGTGTGTATGTATACATATTTACATGTGTGGGTCCATGTGTGTGCACATGTGTGTGCATGCATGTAGAGGCCAGAGGTATTAGGTACTTCAAGCATAGGTACTAAATGATCAGGAGTAGGAGGGTGTGTGTGTGTGTGTGTGTGTGTGTGTGTGTGTGTGTGTGTAGCTAGGCAGGCACTCTACCACTGAGTTTCACTTTGTCATGAGTTGTATGACAGAGAGCAGCCTGCACTGGGCTGTTTTGTATTGATTCCTGGCTGACCTCTGCTTCTCTACCTCAGCTTCCCGTACTTCTCTTTCCTGTAGGAACCACTTTACTAACAGGACTTTATCCTACCCTGCAGCAGCACGAGGCTCTGTGGAGGCTTGGAGTCCTGCTGGGAGGGCTCTTCCTGCTCTCATCTGGCCGCCACCTGGCCACCCTCAGGATGCCATGGAAGCCCTTTCCAGCTCAGCAAGCTGCTTTTAAAGTCGCAGTCTCTGGAGGTTGCAGCCATTCCTGACTCCTGTCAAGTGCTCAAGGTCCTTGCAGTATAAGCCCGTCTATCCAGGAGTTTGAGGAAGAGGAAATACTATAGAACTGAGCACCCTGAGCCAGAACAGGGCGAAGGGAGACAAGGCAGGTGGGCAGGACCATGCTGCGCAGGCCTGTGTGCCACAGCATGCTATTTGCAGGGTCATAGAAGTAGGGATTGGCTATGACCTTCAGATTTTATAAAGATCTTGATTTCTGGGTGAAGAATGGCTATGGTTAAACTAATAGAGTCCTGTGACAATGCCTATCACACAGGGTTAGAGTGAAGATTCATTGAGATGTATATAAGAGCACATTGGGGGTAGAGACATGGCTCAGTGGTTAAGAGCACCAGCTGCTCTTGCAGAGGACCCAGGTTTGGTATATGGTGGTTAACAATTGTCCATAACTCCAGTTCCAGGGGATCCAACGCCCTCCTCCGACCTCAGGCATTGCACGACATGGGTGCACTTACATATATGCAGACACTACACTCATATACATAAAAATAAAATACATTTTTAAAAAGAGCAGATTGGCCTGAAGTACAGGCTGTGCCAGTATTGTTATTTTTATAACTGCAAGTGTGGGTATTAGAAACCGTTCCCCAGCACTCCGATAGGATGCACTGGATCACTTGGGGTGGTCCCATTTGGGTAGGATTCTGATTGGTAGAGGACTGGGGTGCAGGAGTTGCTAGAAGACAGAAGGGGGGCCAGGCCCCTGGAACTCACCCCAACCTGCTCCACTCCCTGCCCCCTGTTTCACCTCCAGGCTGGCTGTACCCCTTCCATTACACCTTTACACTACTGTCCATCACCTTCCATTACACCTTTATACTACTGTACATCATGCCTCCACTCTCCCGGAGTTTTCCCAGCGAGCTGTAAGTAAGGGTAGCCTCTCCCTATTTTCTCTAGAGCAAACGTGTTCCTATTGAGGTTTTCCAAGATTTTTGAAATTTTTCCACTTGCAGTACAAGCCCGAGGCTAGAGGGAGGTTGGAGAGTGGAGGAGCAGAGGTCCTTTGGTACTACTGGGTGCTGCATCATAGTGAGGATGAACATGGATGTAGTGTAAGGGAGGCCACATCTCAGCAAGTGTCACCTGTCATTTTAAGCAGTTTGGCTTTGCTTTCGGGGGAAATGAGAAGGCACTAGGTCTGGATGCATAGATTTACTTCTGTCAACATTCAGTGCTGTTGGGTCATACGGTACGGTCTCTGGAAGTTGGCGGGCTCAGGCCAGGGTTTTCTTGGAAATCTCATTCTGTAGAACACTGGGTCTCATGCTCTGTTCACACAAAATTTACTAATGCTCATTGCAAGAAGTCCTACACAATTTTATTTAAGAGTGAGGATAGAGGGGCTGGAGAGATGGCTCTGCAGTTAAGAGCACTGACTGCTCTTGCAGAGGACCTGGGTTCGATTCCCAGCACCCACATGGCAGCTACAAACCATCCTTAACTCCAGTTCCAGGGGAATCTGACGCCCTCTTCTGACCTCTGCGGCACTGCACAACATGGGTCCACTCACATACATGCAGGCAGCACTCTCATACACATAAAATAAAAAAAATATATTTAAAAAAGTGAGGATAGAAAGTTGAGCTCTTTCCGACCTTTTGTAAATGGAGCTAAAATCATTCCTCTCCATAGACGTTTTAGGTGAATGCACAGAGTGGGTTTTCCTGGGAAAGCTTGGATTGAACCAAGTGGACAATGCCCTTGACTGGCCTGGCGGGTGTAGACATCATTTGATACTTGACAAAAACAAAGAAACAAAGCAGAAAACCTGCCTCACAGGCTCAAAGGAGCTGAGCTTTCCACTGCAGCCTGGACCGAAGTTGGTCCTTCTGAGTGATGGTGTCCGGCGTCCAGACACACCTGTTCCCCTTCCCTTGTTTGTTCTTGGCCT